TTACTGTTCATAACGACTATGTAAGTTTTAGAAATCGATTGAAATATTGACATTTTCTTTCCAGTTTATAATGTATTCTTTTCGTTGTTGTTCATAACTTTATTATAATTATATCATGTCGAATTTTTCATTCAATGTAAACTTGTGTGTTTTTAAAGAAGCCATTGATATTTTTAAATCTATATTTATATTCTATAATAAAAACTAATAACTTATAACAAAGTTACGAATATTTTTATTGAGTTATTGAAGACAAAAGACCTAAGGAATGTGGAAGCGAGCGTGACTACAGAGGAACATTATGGGAGACGACGTCGCCTGGTGTTATAGTGACAAAACCATGTTTGAACGGATACCAAGGTAACTATGTTTTATTTTAAATCACAAACGGACACCCTTTTCAAAAAGCTGTCCTTGACCAATTTGAGATTGTCTGAACACAGATTGTATATTAGAATTTAAAAAAAACCTGTTTAACGAGCACACTTATTTAATGTTTTACATTATATTGTAGGAGAAAGTTCAAGAAAGTGCACACTTCAGGGACAATGGATGCTGCCAGTTTATAACTGTGTAAGGGAAAGCATCGAGGAGATCACAAAACTGGTACTTGGATTGTATTTGCTTTCCTTTGTAAGATGTAAAATTTCTGAAATAAGTAGTATCTTGTTGAATGTCTTTTTTTTTTTTTTTCTTAATAAAATTCTTAATTATTATATCTTCTAGTTTGAGTGTTTTAACAATAAACATATATTTGCTGTATAAAAAAACCCTACTAAATAGGGAAGCAAAAATAAATAGTTTGCTTTGACTGAGTTTGCTTATAACTGATCAAGGAAATTGCATCATATACCACACTCCTAGCACTGGTCGGCTAAAACGGTATTCTTTTTAAACACCTTAAATGTATGGATATTAGTGAAACAAAAACAAAAAGAAAACAATGTTGATATAAATAGCAAGTGTACGTATAAGAAGCCATCAAAAACCTGTTGGATAAACATATCGGTGTGATTATAAACGTCTTCGTGATTAAATATATACATTGAATAATAACCTTTATTCAAAAAATGTAAGTTAAGCTCCTACAACATTCTAAAACTTACCAAAACAACGATAACAATACACTGGGAGTAGACTATGTATTAAATAATTCTCTAATTATTATCAATTTATATTTAGGTATTTGTAAAATTTAATTTTAATTGAAACATTCTCATGTTCTTGATGATAATGACTTACCCTTTCAGATTGAAGGAGCTAAAGAAAATCCATCAGAGACTGTAGTAAACACTGTTTTGTCTAACTTGACACAAGCCACGGATACTGACGTAGACGACGCTCTATATGACGGAGAACTTAAACTAATAACGGAAACGTTAGAAAATATAGTTGTTTTAAGCGACAATATTACTGTTAACGATGGCCAGATACAGGTAAGAAAACATTTTATTCAAAGGTACATAAGGCCTCAGAATCAAATATATTTTTCACTCTTTGTAAATGTAAAAATGAGTTTTTAAAAATTTAGTTCAATGTTTCAGAGCATGTTTGATGCTTATCACTTGAAGTAAGAAGTAATTGTATTATTTGTAAAAAAAAAAAAGTAGCAAAATGTAAACGAAGTAGTATTTTGACTTCAATTGCCAAAATGTTATAGAAGAAAAACGGGGTTCATGTATTTGTCAAATAAGTATCATGTTGGAAACAAAACATCAAAAAAGCTTTCAAAAAAGGAATAAAAAACATATTTAGGGCATAATAGGCCTTTAATAGGCACAAATACATCTAATTTGCCAAAATAAAAAAATATCAAGGGTATGATATGACTGAATAACGCCATTGTAAATCTTTTTTGTAACATTGTCTGTATGAATATACACTTCTAAAATGCACTAAAGTTTTGCATAAATGACATGAATGATAGGCTAAAATAAAATAAAATTTTATTTAATTGCTTTAAAATTCACTTTCACCAGGCGACTGTTTGCATTGTTTTTATTGTTATCATTTTAGAACTTTATAAAGACTGCGAGTAATATTGTTGACAAGAAAAATGTTAATTCTTGGAGAGCAGTTAACCAACAGACGGCGGAGGTAATTAACGCACTAGATTTTAATATGAAAAGGCAAAGCCTCAAGGCGAGCTCGATTTACTTATACCGTCAAACAGTAAATAATATAAACAATCGTTCATTTTTATATTACTTTCCGTTTTAAAGTGCCATTCGGTATTTATGCACTGCTTCCGTTTATTCTGGTTCCCTGTCCTCTTATGGTACCTATAAAAGTGCGCAGGACACCAGTCTACGCATCCGTTTTCAATCATAAATCCTCGGCTTTTATCGTTATCTTGTAATTCGAAAAGTTGCGATGTGTCAATTCAGTACTTCCGACGAAAGTTTTCAAAATCATCACTATCTAGCAGGTACTCGCGTTACCGTTACCGTTAACTTCGGGCCAGCTCGTCGAGCTCGCTATTACAATGTATTCTTTATTTTTTCTAATCCTGATACAATAATAAGATTATGATCTCTTTCTCAAAATGTTTACCTACACAAAACCATAATAAAATTAATATCAAATTGTTCTAATTTTCATGAAAAATACATATACATACACACATTAAGGACTAAAGCAACAATTTTTTATCAAACTTTTATTTCTGTACGTCAACTATTGCGCTGATTTTTTACGATTGACTGTTTCATAACATTTAGAGGTCAGTTAAATTTTGTTGCCTACGGTGAAAAAAGAAACTGTGTTGTACAGCGTAATATGATGTTTTGTTTCGAACTTTCAGGGTGCAAATTTTAGGCCAGCTGATGTACTTAGGGCAGTTGACGGATACAGTAAAGTTGTTGCCAACTCCACAAGAAATGACACAGTGATAAAACAGTCAAATATATGTATGTTGGACATAACTAATTATGCTGTTCATATACCAGCTCACAAGACAAATGTTTATAGATCATGTAAAAAATAAACGATTACCAATCAACAATTCTTCTTTCACTGAAAGCTTATTAAAAGAGTCTAGTTTTGTTGTTTCGTTTCGTTAAGTTTGGTTTTCATTTAACTGCTTTACACCGTTTTAACGACCCTTGCAACGAAGAAATATTGAGTTAAGCCACTAAAAGCGATGCTAGTGACCTTGGCAATTAAAAAAATCCTGCGTTCTTAGAAAGAATATCTGTAGTATTATTTAATTAGTTTGCTCAGTATAAGTTATTTTCACATATATAATATAAAATCGCATACTTAAATAAATTGACATATCCAAACATTTCAAGTTTTACATTATGTCTTGACAAATAATGAGTGGTGGCATGATTCTGACAGGCATATATACGTATTGTTTAGGATGTTATAAATAAAGCTTTTTTTCTCATTTTATTTTCAGTATTTCGAGTTACAAACAACAACAAAGAAAATATAATGTTCCCAACGCCAAGACTTGCTACTGAGCTTCAAACATTGTCTTTTTATTTTCTGTCAAATGTTTCTCTTGATGGTAGTTAATTGTTTTATTGGTGTTTTGTAACAATAAAGTAGGATAAAGTAAGATCTTGGAAAAATATTATTTATTGTGACTAATAAACAAAACGTATATTTTTACCGTAGTTCTGCATGAATAGTACTAATATACACAAGCATTTCCAAAGCATACAAATTTATAAGATTTTAAGGTTTTCCTTCAAATGACATGACAACAGTGGTCTTCCTGGACTCCTTACCGCTGGTCCTTTTTGCTTGGTCATGTGAGGTTGCGTTCATTGAACGTCGCCTTTCCGTACCATATTTTAACCTGTTGATATTTGTAAAAAACAAAACAAAAACTTTTAAACCATCCATTCACGAGTCCTAAGGATCAAACAATATATCAGAATGCTAAAGGAGGTCAAGCCCACATTGTGTGATATAATTATAAATAAATTTGATATATTTTAGGCGTGAAGAAATACTCATCGATATTTTATAAGAATTTGACAGAGATTTTACCAACATCTTCAGTGGGGTGAGTATGATTTAATGATTTTGTCATAAATACAAAGTTAACATTATTTCTTTTAGTCACGAATAACGAGATCTCGAAAAAAGGAAATTCCCTAAGAGCGTGAAAATTTCAGTCTCGGTTGAATGAGTCTATATTTGATGCAACATCTAAGCATCATGCCTCCCCCTTGCACCGGCTTTAGCCAACTCTAAAAGTGTTGGGAAATGACCAATGAAACGTTCAACTGTATAGTTTGCATCTTATAACAAAAGATTCAATTAATGTTATTTGCCGTACAGAAATTCGCAAATACATTATCAAAAACAAATCGAATAGAAAAGTAAATGTTCAACAAACACAAATGGTGCAAGTTTAGTTTGGCTCACCAGTTGTGGTACTAGGCATGCTACCGTCAACACCCAAACTGTATCATACACAACAGAAAATGACAAATGGAAAAAGAAATAAATTGAAACAATAACTGTGTAAATTCTAAGACATATATGAAAGCGCGTCAATAATCCATAAAGTGTTCTAGAATGGTTTGGTAAGAAAAATGACGTTACTGTTTATTTTAGGAACAACAGCGATCTAGAGATAAATGGTGCAGTTCTATCACTGACACTTATACCATCTAAAGAAGATCTGGAGACACCAATAGAGCTTAGTTTCCAGCATTTTAATGTAGGTATAACCAAAATCAAGCTAAAGATCATTCTACGGACTGACATGAAAATCTCTAATTAAATATTATACCTGTTAATAGTTACTTTAATGACTATGTTTTGTATGAATAGACACGGATTGATATTTATGTAATGTAAATCCGTGGAATAGATAAAAAGATTTTTAGGTTTGAAGAAATAACTAGTACTGTTTGAAGAAATAATTAGTTAAGTGAAAAGGTAATAGATTTTCATTTATTGATTCATTATAATTTATTAATACAATACAAAACAATACAATACATAATGATTCATTATCTTTAATCATTTGAATTTAACAATATTAAATGTCTTTACTTTAGTCTTGTCGTTCGCAAATCCTCCGCCTCCTATTTTCAACTTTTTTCAGACTTTCTATAGATATCCTGTGTGTAGCTTTTGGAACTTTGACAGGTACGTAAGATGAAAATGAGGATCTCATTTTGAAATAGCTGATTTTTTTTTACTTAACGTTTTATTTATTTAGTTTCTCTTCTTTTTGGGATAGAGAGAAACATTAAGTCTACACTTTACAACAGCAAAGTTTATATTTATTTCACCCTGACATGTAGCTTTCCAATAAATGAATCTTTGTTAACAGTAGCTTTGGCAACAAAGAAAATCATGTAATGGCATAAATGTACACACTTTCTTTTTAAGTATTTTATGCATTTTACTTTTATATATATTATTTACTTTTGCCTATTCAAAGATCATATAGAAAATTAATGGAAAATTAACTTACTACTAAGTAAACATGTACACTCTATATATGTTTCTAAAATCTTAGATTCGATGTAACTCTTTTCTGTTCATGACAACTCTATCACACCATCAATGCTTTCTTCGTTATAGTAATGGTTGGGACAGTGACGGATGTACTATGGTTTCCACCAATAATGAAGTAACAAATTGCACGTGCAGTCACCTGACTAACTTCGCTATACTAATGAGCCCATACAAACAGGTATAATACTAGCGCATTGTATATTCCATAAGTTGATAAAAAAGCGCATATGAGCCCGCAATTATTACAACGTTTGTGGAACCTTTAACACAGCACTATGTAGAGCCCATGTCCTTCACTTGAAGATAAAAACAGATAGATAAGATTTATATTGCCTAAAATAATTGTGTAACCACCGGAAATGATCTATTTTAGGCATATTTATGTAAATTCTCGTTTTCTACAGACCTATGATTTCCAAAATTGTTTTTAGATATACCTGAGAAAAAATATTGCTTTGTCAGTCTATTTGAGACTTCAATGTTGTTATATTTTTCTGGTCCATCGTAATCATTGATTCCAGCGCTTTTAAATGTTGAAAATTGAGTACCGCAGAAGCCGGCTTGGGACGTGAGGAAAGTTGCACTTTTTTCATTATCCCTCACGTACAATATAAATTAAACCGAGTCTGCAATCTTCAGTTTTTTTGTTGTGATTAATACTTCCGAGGGATCACACTTTCTCCAGATTTTACATGAGTGTAAAAATGCTATGTCACAGGGTAATATAACGGATAACCATATGATGCTTTTGAGGAAATTTATATTTTGTAAATCACGTTATATGTAGTAATGTATAGTAATTTCGACTAATATACACATAAAACACATTTTGAAATAATGATGACATAAACTGATATGAGCCGCCTACATGTTTAGCAGCAGAATTGTTGTCTGCGAAACGAAAAAACTAGGAAAACTAGTTTGATCATTTTTCCTTTTTTCAAATAATAATTTTAATTATTAGTAAGGACTGTAAGGGCTTATTTTCTTATGAAGTCGTTTAAACTCGTAAAGAGGCAGAAAGACGCACAATTATTCTACCTTGAACATAAACTATAGATTAAGTCCATACAAAATACATGGTTACTTAGTTAAAAGAAACAAACACAAATGTTCTTACACTTGTTTTAAACGGTTACTGAAAGAAAGATTGTCGGAGCAAATTCAAGTGAAAAATTAAGAGCTAAGCAGTTTTTGGTTATTTACAGTAAAAAATCAAAATATGTTATAAATATATCTTTGCTTTGTAGGAAGTATCAAAACCGTTGAACATAATCAGTACAGTTGGTTGTGGAATTTCATTGTTTGGTCTAGTGTTGACCATTGTAGCGCATGTTACGTTTTGGAGGTAAAACATTTAACATGTCTGTTATTTGTCCGGATTTTTCTGTTCAATATCAGAACAGAAAAAGCTTAACGAAAACGACATAGATTATTTGATATTTCTGTAGATTTGCATCATATGGAAAACATTTAAATATTTGAAATAAACCGGAAATAAACGCAAAATGTAAAAACCGTCTACTGATAAGACTTTTCATTGTCATAGTGTCAACTTTTTTTTCAGACATGTAAAATCAGAGCGAGCACTTCTGGTTGTTTGCCTGTCGGCTGCTCTTATAATATTCTATGCCATATTTATTGTCGGAGTTGAGAAAACAGAAAATAAGGTGAGCAACAGAATTAGTACAGAATAATTTTATCGCGATTTGCATTTTAGTGTGCATTTCTAATTCTGATCTAAGTTCATTACAACAATGGTGACCTATACTCAACATCGACTCCTACCCTTTTCTCACTATGTTTTTCTGTAATTTATTGTATTTTTGTATTTTTTAATTCACCTTTATGCTAGGAGCCTTGGAAAATGACAAATGGAAAAAAAACTTTGTAACGATATAAGGGCCAATCCAGAGCGATATAGTTGAAAATGGTGTATTTATTATTAACCTGATGGAAACTTTGTTGCCATAAATAGAGGCAGTTAAGGCTTTATACTGTTGGTCATTCATTTCTTTTACACTTTGATTTTTAACTGTCTGAAACTTTGAATTGTCTGCTCAAAAATGCAGAGAATGCTGGACAAAGACAAAACATTTATCCTTACGGTTTTTGATTACAAGCATTGAAAGAAATTCTGCCCTTGTTCGATAGTAAAGGTCTTTTTTATAATTTTATTTCAGGACGTTTGTACGGTGGTTGCGGTGTCACTACATTTCTGCTTGCTTGTCGTGTTTTTCATGATGCTCGCTGCATCTGTACATATAGCTATAAGTATTTTGTACGTTTTCAGAACAAAGGTGAGATCTGTCAAATGGCTAATTCCCTTAGCAATAGGTATGTTGATACTGTTGTTTTCCTTTGCACATTTTTTATCTGTGTCGTTGTGATGCAATTGAAGCATTTGTTACATTTTTTATCTTTGTCTATGTGATGCAATGAAGCCATTTGTATAATTACAAGTTGCAGGTCACTGCACATAATAAACTAAAAAAGTGCTCATTGAATAATAAATATGTTAGAAAATTGTGTATGGTGATTGAACATGCAAAGTTATCGAAAAAGGATAGAAGATTTGCTACGAAATTAAAGACCATATAATTACTTAATTGACTTAGATTTAATAAACAGCGGAATAAGGTACTGTTCAAAATAACGTAAAAGTTACAGTGCAACTTGTATAGAGGCAGAACAAATATTGCCTACCGAAAAGAACCGGCATTTTGCATAACTTTTCGAACTTTTGAGCTCCAAAAAAGTTAGTGATGAAGACTGAATATTGCTCAAGTACGTACTATCGTACATGGGAAATAGTGCATGTTTTTCATATTTAACATGTTTACTGAAACACAGTAGACGATTTAACAGAAATAATTTGTATTGCTCTCGGAAAATTTCCCATTGTCAACAATGTTAAAAGCAACTATTTCTAAAACCCAAGTCTTTATGTTACAGGCGTTCCTCTTCTTATCGTGGCCATTTCTGCGTCAATAACAAAGATGGATGGCTATGGAACAGAAGATTAGTACGATATGGTTTTTGTTTTAATTTTCATAGTAATATTAATGTCTTATTATTCATAGTAATGTCAATGTTTTATTGTTCATAGTTATGTCAACGACTTCTTTTTCATAGCAACGCCAGAGTCTTATTGTTTATAGCAATGTCAATGTCTTATTGTTGATAGTAATGTCAATGTCTTATTGTTCATTGTAATGTCAATGTTTTATTATTCATGTCAATGGCGATTACTAAAAGTTGTTTAATAACATATATTTTTAACGCTGTTCACATGTTATATAAACAATAAATACAGTGACACATGTATGAAAAAAGGGGACTGGAAACATTTGTTAAATATTTCCTGTTAAGTATCAAACAATCAAATTATGATTATTCTTATTTAAGCTGCTGGCTGTCCTCGGACAATGGTCTGGTTTGGGCATTCATAGGACCAGCAATACTTGTTATATGTGTAAGTCATTATGCTCTTAGCACTGTTTGTTTAGTTTAATGCCTTTTTACTTCAATTTTATCACATTTTTTGCCATGACACGTCGGTACATCTACCTATAGTTTTTTGTTTTTCTTGGATAACAAACCAGTAATTATCAATTCTCTGCAAGTAACCGACTTTCTTTTTATTCCACATCAGTTACTATATCGGCGGCGAGAGTCAAATCGCCATTACACCCAATGTCAGATATCCATTTCCACGAAGAAATTTTGCCTAGTTGGCACCGAAGCATTACATATTGTGTTCACTTTTGACTCTTTGCCCCCAGGACTTGAAAGTGATTAGCTTGCACATCTTTGAAGTTTGACTGGGCTGTACACTGTTGATAGCTCTACATATTTCAGTGTTTAAATCTTTTACATTTAAGTAGTCTGTTCCAAATTCAAAACTTAGCAAAACCTGATGCCAGTTCAACTGGGTTAGGGTTAATGTATAATTCTGTTTTAAGTTTTGTTACATAAATGTTGTTGTATGTACTTGTTCTGTTATATATTGTTCTAGGTAAACGTCATCTTGCTGGTTCTGATTCTTAAGACAATGCACTCAACAAAGATGATGACACAGAAATCGGGATCAAATAAAATGAAGTATATTTTAGATGACATTGTAGTTATTCTAAATAATGTTCACATGTTTTTAATTTCGTGACTTTAATGTATGGTGTGTTAAAATAGCAACAACGAATTGTGGAATGAAAAACCAAATGTAATCGAAAAGTGAGAAAAGACAAATTCAATATATGCATGTATGTCTAGAAATACAGAGCAAAATAACATATAGGCGTCCATGACATTCTTCTGATACTCTAGGATATCGGCTTCGCATTTTGTGCATTATTATAGCATTAAGTTTGAAGTATGGAAAATGATTTTGATTGTTAAAGTAAAATAGCTTGGGTTTTCAATCCTTTGTTAATTTAGATATGAAAGAATGTCTTTGTTTTTTGTTTTGTTTTTGGTTTTGTTTTTGTTATACGTGTATGTGGTTTAGAGGGTGTACAGCTTTATTTGGATGTCTCTAATTGGTTGAATATGGGTTGATTATAGTCAAATAGTATTGTAATACTGTGGATTTCCGGTAACAAAATAACAAATGAACATTTTGTTAAGAAATGTTTTATTTCGTTTCTTAGTACACTCTTGTACGTTACGGTAAAGGAACAACAAAATTGACAACAAAGTGATTGTACAACAACTGCATATTTAATGGCAATATTTTTACGTTAAAGCTTTACATGTTTTATTTAATTTATAGGGCAACAGTTAAATGTTTGTGCGTTTTGCTGCCTGTAATGGGTGTAACATGGGTGACAGGCCTCTTCTACGTTAATGAAGATACCAACTGGATTCAATATTTGTTTGCCACAGTCAATAGTTTACAGGTAAATGTAAATACGTGACATTAAATTAATTAAAAATGAATCACTCGAAAATTGTTGAAGTCAGAAAAGAAAATTTGTTATTCAGATATATATAGTATTTAATAAATAAAACATAATCCTATTAGATAGGTAGGTGGCACAAACTTTTAATCAGTATAAATTATACATAACTTTTTGGATTGTATGTTTCGAGAATTTGGATTGCTCATGCGAGGAAGTTATCCAGCTAAGAACATGAAAAGTATGTGGTTCTACTCAGGTGCCCGCTCCCGTCTAAGATGATGCCCTTCGGGGTACCTAGGATGGTCTTGTCCAATAGGTTATATGCCTTGAAAAGTCACCATATAATATTTACGTGGTCAGTTTGATTTAACTCTAACAAATAAAATGAAATAATTAAGTTACAATCAAGCGAACACATAAAATAAATAAAATTAGATCAGCATTACACAATTACAATCCACTTACAATATGTTACTTTTAACATTTTAAAATATGCAAAAATTAGGGCTTACTCCGATAGAAATTGTAGACATATGGTGATAAAAATTGAAATGTCTTTGATATTTGTATGATTCGACTCTGTACTTCTTTGACCGCTTCTTTTATTTGTTTTCTTTTATGGTGTCGGTAGCATGAAGACAAAATGGATATCTTAACATAATGATTATTTAGATTTGATGTATTAGCGAAATTTCATAAAAAAAGAAAAAAAGTGTATTAAGTTAAGGCTTAGGGTCACTCGATGGTTAACATAAAATATATATTTTAAATATATGATATATATAACATTTGTTTCATACATTTCAGGGTCTTGTTATATTTGTATTCCACTGTGTACTCAACAAACAGGTAATTTATAGAGCAAACATTTTGACTGTATCAAAATAAACTGATTGCTGCAAATAACCAGTCCGCGATAACTATGAACTGGGTCTCTTGATATTGAAACGGAATAAAGTGAATTGGTCTATATTATGATAGGTCTGTAATACAAAAAATAATTACGATGTCACACATAACAACAAACATCAAAAGAATAACATAATATGTTGTTTGAAGGTGTGATATGACATAATAATTATATTTTTATAACAGATAATAAATTATTCTTGAAATAAGTATTATTATTCATCATATGTGTTCATATTAAAATCACTTTGAACTTGAGCAACATTTTTTCAAGTGCTTATTTATAAGAACATCAAAATGTATATTCTTATAAATAATAATTTCTTTTTTATGAACATTTGAAATACTTATTTGCCAATCGTAGAACAATCCAGTTTGATATAATTCTAAATAAGCTTATGCCAGAAGGCTCTTTATATGTCTCTAGTACACATGTTGGACATAGTGATATTTGTATTACTATATCATATTAAGTGCTTTGTTTCTCTTTGCTGTCAATAAATTTTACTTAGATTCGGATCCATCTTGTTGCATTTGAAACCACATACTGCTGTTTTGAAGAAAACATTTATATGGCGCGTGTTTCATCTTTATTTTCACCATTTACATATACAATAAGATAAAAGCAATACATCAAAAGTAAGGTATCGAAGCAGATTAAATAATTTTTAATATTTATTCAGTTCGTTGACCAGTTGACCAACACTCAGTAGTTTCTATCTAATCACTAAAACAAGGCATTATAAATGTACATGTATGCTAGTTTTAAACATAAGGCGGGTTAGAAAGCTATTAACCAGCTTACAGAAGGTAAATGATCCTACTCAGCTGTCTGTCTGCTTGTGTCTGAAACAATGCACGAAGGCATGTTATTTTTTCTGCTGAAGGAGACTTTAAAAGTGTTTATTTTCAATATGAATGATTCACAAATTTCGAAGTCAAACTATGAAAATCAAGCAGTAAGAAGCATAAAAACTGATAAAACAGCTAAGATGGTTATGTTGATAATTTATACTGCTAACATTTGTAAGCATCATGCTTTTCATAATTCCATCTTGTATCCTGTAGATCCAGCGTGCATTTATATTAGCAAAGAGAAAATATTCTGTAGGAACATCAGAATCAAGGCTTGCAAATGAATTAAAGAAGGTAAAGGCATAACTAATTAGTTAATATGTTTAGTAATATGAATTACATGAAATGAACGTTGTTATATATATTTAAGATCATTTTATTTCTTTAAAAATGAATGGAATATATCATAGTGTTCAAAAGGTAAGAAGCTCAACCCTTACAATATTGGACCCAATGGTCCAGTATTTGGCGAGAGGTCCTAGGTTCGAATCAAAGTATCATTAAGTAATAGTATAAACCAAATGGTCAGAAAGTCGGCGAACGTGCCACGTGATACCTAAAATCTATAAAATGCAGTAACTTTAATTAGTTATATTTTCAACTTTTCAAGTTACCTCGTACTTAAATACAGTGTTGTTATATTTTCCAATTCTTCGTGATCATTAATTCCAGCAGACTGAATGCCGCTTAAGCCGGTGCAACAGAGCGTGGAAATTGTTGCACCTCATATTACGTGATCAGATTGAATCAACCTTTTCATATTTATTTTAACAGTCTTTTAAACGATCAACTTACTGATACTTGTGTGTCTTTTTTTGCAGATGAAGTCACGAGAATCCTTCGATAAAGTAGAAACATGATAATCCTTTAAAGAGACAACGTGAAAATGAAATTAACTTTCATATGATTATATCATATATCCTTAAGAACATGCGGACCAGTTGAGCATACAGTACAATTAAAAGTAACCTTCATTATTTACTGACCGTTTGTTATTTAAATTTATTTAGGCACTGGCATGCAAATATGGGTAAATTGTATGACAATTGGTGATATAGGAAGTAAACGTCGGTGCTCAGACACATATTCTTGCATATTATAAACAATTAAATAAATTAAAAGGATATTACCTCGAAAGTTCGTCTACTCGTGACGATACTGCTACCACGACATATGTTATGTGAGAACGATATTCTTTTTTAGATTGACCAGTTTGATTAAAAGGATGCTGTTGTAGGGAATATATTTTTTAAAGGAAGTATGCATTGTTTTACGATTTTACAAGTACACCAAAGAAATTTTGATAGATTGTTTGGCAAATGAGATTCTTAAGCTATACAGAACTGATAAGAAAATACAAAAAAAAGAACTTTTTTGTGCACATAAATCTCAAAACAAAATTAGATACTTTACTTTTAGTTGGACTAAATTAAAGAAGTGAAAAAGAATAAACTCGTACGTTCATTGAGGAAAGCATATATTATTCAGCATTGATCCACATTTTTATAACGATTAATAGTAATCAAAGACATAAGGATACGACAAAGAAGAGACTGTTGTATTTTCGTATTTTAGTCTGGCTTCCTGAGAACCGACAGAAGAAAATACGAAAATATAACTAAGTTCAGACTGTCGTATTGTCGTGTTTTCAAAATTGCGTCCCGCGGAGCGAAAGTAATACAAAGTGATGATTTTGTCATATTATCGTGTTTTCGCCTTGCATCCCGCAGAGCAAAAATACGATAAAATGTTGACTTTGCTGTATTTGTCTCATGTTTTTGTATTGTAATGTAAAATGGGCAATAAAACTTTAAACTATATTCGTGTTTTTTGTCCGGCGTCCCGTGGAACAAAAATGCGATATGGCACAAATAAGCCACCATGCACCAACTTTTGGAAATAAAAAACAAATGTCGGATAAATTTGAAATTAACCAAATTTTCAATAAATTTACTTTTTATTTACACTAAACTAAAAAGTTTCTTAAAGGCTATACAAGTTTACAATATGTACATAAATATAAACACTTTCCATTTGACCTAAAATATGATTATCAGATTAAATATTATAGTTGAATAATGGTGCTTTTTATTTCTTAAAACAGTTGAAAAATGTCAAAAGCAAAATGATATAATTTAATTGAAAGGATGAAAAATAACCTAAATGGTTGCGTGCTATTAAACTCTTATAAATCTAAAAAGTAGCAAGCCCTGTTTTAAAGATATTCTAACAAGAACAAAAGTCTCATAATTCCAGGCAGCTGCTATTAGAACAAAGAAAAGATTAAAAACTTGTTTACAAAAAAAGAAATCACCAAAAATACTTTAAAATGTATCAAAAATGTTTCAATAACTTAGAAAATCTCTAATATTAATTTATATGTCAAAGTGCCTAAATGGATTCAATAATTAATTAATTAATCTTAGAGAGCTTTCAGAGATGTTACTTTTTCAAAAATAAGTGCTCAGCCGGAAGTCAAAACTCATTGAGATGCCTGGTCAACTTAAGTCCTTATCATAGAGGGAGCTGACGTCTACATACAGGTGGTTCATTATGATTAGTCTGCAGATTACAATCAACCAGAATTTACTTAGCAAATGCTTTAGGCTTATCCTTATCTTTTTTTTTCTTTTTTTTTTCAGTTTCGGGCGCCCAGTTAAGGGGTAACCCCATTTATTTTCCCCGTCATTGGCATAATAGGGGTCGAGGAGCATCCTCCTATCAGCCTTACAATAATACAAGTATATATATTTGATTTCTTACAAAATAAGAAGCAGTATAGATAATGTACAAAACATACAATTCGCAAAGGTATTATTTACTTGTCCGAAAAACGAAAAATGACAAGGTTGAAAAGCGAGTTAACTCTTTATGAATTAAATCTATAATTTCAATTGAGTTGCGTCCCATACATTAAAGGTAATATTCATACAAATTACAAATATTTTAAAAATTCTGTCACTGAATCGTCTTTATTTCTACATTTGTATTCAAATTGGTATTTTATATCATTGAACAAATTTCTTAATAAAATAGGTATTGGTATATCCTTATCTTTTGTTTACATAACTATGATCATGTTCATGGACAAGTAAATGGTACAATATTAACAATTTCTATAAAATATCATGATTATGACAAAGTAACATACATTATCAAAATACTTCTGAAAAACTACACATAATACAAAACAAATATAAATGCTAAATCAACAACTTGTATCTCACAAAGTTCAAAGACCAGTGAAAATGAAAGTAGAACCATTCTATGACATTAGGCCATGTTAAGTGAATGTAGAAAATTGTATCCAAGTTCTACAAAGTTACTAACCACAAATAAACGAAACATACTAATCAACATACAACTATAATGAAATGGTTAGTACGAAGTATCCATAAACTATAACTTAAATCTTAGTAAAAGTTTAAACCCTTGTATTTCTTCAAAAACATTTAAGAAGAATAAATGTGTTCTGAATTGATATACTTCTTCCGTAATATTATACACTAATATGTAATAATGATATAACCTGTTGTTGTTGGAATCCAACTTTACAACAAATGAATAAATGTATTTTAGTTATCTAACATATATTTTTCTACATCAAATAGTAATAATCAGGGGATACCATTTTTACCTACTTTACTAACTATTAATGATTACAAATATCGTAGTCATCTAGCATAGATGTATATTTCTCTGGAACATACTCTCTTCCTCGGAATGTTAAAGCTTTTTTATTAATTTAAGACTTATTTCTTAATGATTCCAAATTTATTGTAATCAAGTATGTCCTCAAATGTCTTTTATTTCGTCTCCATAAACTCAAAAGCAAAGAAAAAAATATCTACAACCTTATGAATTTCGTTATTTATGTAAAACAAAAAGTACATGTAAAATGAAATTATACTTTTTCAAAGATGATATATTTCGTCCCCTTCACATGAAAAGGCAAGAAAGGATAATTAATAACCTTCAGGTTTTGAAATCGCTTTTTTTATAAAATAACAAAGGGCTACATTGAATTTATACTTATTTTATACATTATTATTTCAAAACTTAAAACTCATTGATACCAAATAAATTTCAATTAAGTGTGTCTTCAAAGATCTTATATTTCATCTCCTCAACCCCAAAAGGCAAATAAAAGATACCGAAAAGATTTCGAAATCGCTAATTGTTTAACAAAATAACGAAGGACTACATTGCATTTTATTCACAAAATTATTTCATAAACATTTAAACATTCATATCTATTTGTACTGTTGCAAAATGAGACACCCAAGCATCAAAATAAAAGTAATTGTCATAAAAAATTCCATATTATTATTATCATACGAATCCAGTCTTTTTCACATTTGTATGATATTTTAATGCTATTTTACTGTTCGTCTGTAATGTATTTCTTATTTTTTCCATGAAAATGAATGTCTTCTTCTCATGGTTGGCAGATAATAAGTAAAGGGATTATTATGCACATGCAATTCTTACACTATATATATTCAAAGATCTTTTCAAGTGAGCACCCTTTTGTAATTGGTCTCATTTCTGATTTTCCAACGCGAGTATTTACAACACGAACATGACAGTTTATTTTCAGGAAAAATGTCAAGAATTATTTGTGTACCAGGTGATGTGACATGAGCAACATCCCAAATGTTCATCTCTTTTTTATTCACGAAACCATAAACTTATGTTATTTAAACGAAATAACCACTTGCGAAGCAGCAGCAACAACAACCAGCTCCTGCATACGACGACAACGTTTTAATTAGAATCATATGTTGGATATGTTTGCATATCTGTGTATTTTGAATGCATTATTATTTCTGCAGCCATCTCGTGTAATTCAATAGTTCAATAATTCGGCACTATAATGGCGGATAATGTTAGGCGAAACATTTTCAACAAATACAAACTCTGAATCTTTTATTCACATTCTTTATCGTTTTGATTCTCTCTCCGTAGAAATCAATAATATTGTCAGGTTTTGCTTTATCAATTCTTAGAAAGATTTACACATCAATGCCATTAGACACGTTGTAAAACATCAAACAACTCCATTTCCAATCTTTGAAAGAGACCGCGTTTCATTTTGCTGAACATCAAAAATGATCCTAACTTTTGTTGTTACTTTATCAGTCTAAAGTAGTTAGAAAATGTAGCAACTACCACCTTTGATCGACGTAATCTTCATGTCCTCCTATTTTCTTAACATATACGTTCTAAAAAGAGTTTTATATTATATCATTTTAAGTTTCAAATATAACTGAAATGTATATTAAGTTTTTTTTTTGATAGTATATTTGAGACGTCTGACCATTTAGGCTTTCTACATCCAGTTCAACTGGCATTGTTTCAAATGATATATTTCATTTTAGTTAGAACCGCGCCTGTTACGTTTTATTTAGTTTCCTTCACCATCGCCTCAAAGCTACATCTTAGTCTAGTAATTTCCAAGTTGATACATTTTCCTCAGCATCAGTTACTATTCCCTCTTTTTCACATGCAAATGTGCAAATTGAGGATATACAAAAAAAGGGGTTAATTACACTATCTACATTTCAACTCAAAGCTTCACCAGGTAGATAAAGGTGCAATTTTAAATTTACTTGTGGATGTAATATATCAATGCATGCAATAAACAAAGCTTTGTAGTATACATATTCCTTTTATCTCGTTTATATCGTTTTTTTTTTCCAAAAGCAGCTTGACTTTCCTAAAAGTTTTGATGATCTCAGCGCCAATGTCCGCCAGTTTGACTGTTGTTTTTTCGTTAATTCCCCCACGATATACGACCGTCAAGTCTTACAAAAATAATGCGACATCATTTAGACAATTAAACTATTTTCCTGAATTTCTTTAATATCTTTATTAATAATTCCGGTTCATCGATTGTAAATAACAAGTCTTATCTTTATTGAATGTTTTTTATTTTTAGTCTTATTTTGTTTCATTTGCATAAGGTGATTTTTTTTGCTTTGTCATCTTCTCGATTAGACCATCTATTGGTTTTATTGTTCGACGAAGTCATTATTTCAACAAATTGTTGTATCAATAAAAATGTTAAAACTTCACTCTGCAACCAAAATGGTGCGCAAATGAAATAACATTTGTTATATTATATCACGATGTTTTATTCAACCTCGATATACTTTAAATAGACAAATAGGCAAAAAAAAGGCAAACAGTTCAGACTTAAGAACGTAAGTTAGTCCCATGTTGTTTAGCTAGTCACGATTTCAAGTATCAAGTCACGTATTGCATCGGGCTTGTATATTATATAGAAATATGTACACAACTATACAAGAAGCAATAAATCCAATTCAATGTATGCTAGGTTTCTAAACCAATGCAAGAGCCATTAACAAACTTTTGAACCCCTCTGGTGTAAAGAAAGTGTCCTTTGGTACAGACTTAAGATCAATTGTAATTATTTTCTGCGTTGCATAAAAAGATCCAGGGAGTATTTCTGTAGATTCTGGCAGTGTCACTACTAAAATTAATGATCTGTTGTGCCTATCTTCTACAATGCTTTGCATTCTATCAATAATATTTTGCATTATTGTATTGTCAGTATCAAAGTCTTTAATAATTACAAAAGCGTTCGACTGACTCATTATGTTTTCCATTCCAAGTACTTCCGGTGTACCTGGACTAATCGCTGGGCTTTCTGAATTGAAAGTTGTTTTGAGTCCAAGACTGTTTAAAAGCATCATAAGTTTTTGTCCATTTTCGTCGTCATCAAGGTTTGAAAGAATGAAAATGTCGAATGATTCATTTTCTTCTTTTCCTCTGTTTGTTCCATTGGACGCTTCACTATTTCCGTGCGTTAGTTGAGATTCTCTCACAAACCTAAACGCCTCTCCAATACGCATTTCCCCCTTTTGAAAATGTTTTCGTCTAAAAGCATCCAAACCCGCTTCGATGTAAGTTTTGATGTACAGATTCTTTTCAATAAGTGGTTGCCCATCTCCAACTTGCTTAGACATACAAAGAGCGATAACTGCCTCTTCAAAGTTCTCTTTGGAAATTTGATGCTGGACAATTCCTTCAAGAAACTCCTTTTCTTCTTCTTCGTCATCGGCTAATGGTTGCAATTCTTGAAGTATTTTAACTGCATCGCGATGCTCATTTAGCTTTCTGGAAAGTTTCCATAGCTCCTTCAAAGTATCTTTCGTTCTTTTTATCTCTAATTTCCCATATAGGACATTCCTCAGTGTGGCAGCAGATTTCCAGCCTTTTTCGAGGGATGGAATCTTATCAATGAGGGCACATGAAATCTCAATAGATGATTTTAAATAAAAGTCCCTGACTTCCTCCATTTCACTTCTTTCATTCATTTTGACATCATTGGAGTTGAGTAACATATCACTTATACAAAATGCGGACTGCTCGTAAATGTTTGCCAGCATAATGCGTGAAATGAATTTATCATAGTTCTGCGATAAATCTTCTAAAACCTTTAATGCACTTTCAGGTTGACTTATTTGCCTGTAAAGTAAGGCCTTATCGTAAATTGCATTCGTGTTTGACGACAATTCATATGATGTATCAAGATACGCAATTATTTTATCAACAACAGGCTTATGTTCATTGTAATCTATAATGATTAGTTCTTTTGGACATTTTATTCCAGACTTCTTTTTCGGCCTCGAAGGATCGCAAGGGATATAGGTACCTCTGTTGCTAGGGTTTATACTAAGTTGTGAGAAGTTCTTTATGCCATCTTCACAGCCCATGTGAACATCTAGTAATTGCCGAGCTAATTTCCCTTTGTTTTTTTCAAGTAGTCTTTTGAACGTCAGGGCGATGTGATGATAACCAAAAGAGGTTGGTTTGATTTTAATAGCTCGAGTTAGTAGATTTATTGATTTTTCATGTTCATTTATGTATCGGAAGTACTTCCCGCTTCGTTCGAGAACAGATACATCATCTGGATAACATTCAAGAGCTTTATAAAAAAAATAATCTGTCGTTTTCATTAAAAATGGTGAATTTGTAGGCATAAAATCTTCCATGCCATTTGGAAATATGGATTGATTCCTAGAGACATCATAAGAAATGAAACCAATTTCAACATATGATCTCGCTTTGTATCTCTTGATACAATCGCTTTCAGAATTTTCCAACTGAATTATCTTCGTATACAGGTCTAACGTAATACTGTAATAGTTTTTCAATTCTTCATTACCTGCTGGTTCGTCACTGTTATTCAAATTTGACTGTCTCCGTTGACAGAGGGCTTTCCTATACATCCATATACAAACATAGTCGGTCGGTACCTGACCTTGAGTAGCAGCAGAGTCCGATCCATCGACAAATTCTTTAATTTTCTCACAATCTCGAAGAACGTTTCCGAATTCTGACGATGCCTTCTTATAATTCCGTATTCCTAATCTTGAATAAGTAAATGCTACCTCAGCTTTTGCTATAATTAAAGCTAATTCATTTTGTCTCTTTATTGCTTTGAGACGCTTACAAAGTTCTTTGCACTGCAATATGTTTTTATGGTCCCGCAAAGAAAACCAGGCTTTGTTTGATAAAGCTATCATATTCTCCGGTTGTCTGTCTAAAACTTTCTCGTTAAAATCTGTCGCCTTTTCTTGATTTCCTAGATAAAAATGAAAAAACGAAAGTAAATTTTCGACTCTTAATTTTTCCATGTCCGTGCTGAATTCTTTTTCAGAAGATTCCAGTTCAATCTCCAATTTGTGTTTTATTTTTCCTATTTCCCCTCGTGACATAGATGTTATCGTTTCTTTGACACTGAAGCTTGAAGGGTACTGACTCAGTGTCTTTTTAATTTCCTCCATATCCTCGGGTAGCTGAATGATACACGGCCTTGCTTTAATTTAATCTGAATTTATAAAATGTAATTAATATTTATTATAAATAATATTGCTTGTATTTCTTTTTTTCGATAAGAACCTGATTTATAGAGATATAAACAGGTTTATGAAATAAGGATAAATTTGCACGTAATTTAAAATAAAACACTTAATTTGAGGTAGAAGATAAAAACTGCTATAAATTATACACATATCTTACTGATAATATTGTCTCAAAAAACATTTACAGTGGCAAAAAAGGCACGACGACAGCAAGAACAGATGAATGCAATAAAAATGTACATTTATAAAATACATGTCAAGAGTCAAACATATATTTAATGTTATATATGCTCAATTTCTTAGAAGAAAATGTTCAAGTTATTACTACAGTCAGGTTGTCGTTGCTGTCCAGAAAGTTTTACATCAGACTTTTTTTAATTTCTCAATATATTGTCTCAATACCTGGACAATAAATAAACATACTATCCTTTAATTTGACCTATAAATGACATTGACCTTGACCTTCAATGTCAAATGTTTGATTTTTTCTTGATTTTTGCTATAATTGGCTTTTACTTTGTCATTCATGAATGGATAATCTTAATACTTAGACCCAAAAATCCTTAGAAGACCTTTAAGCATACCAAATCGATTATGACCTTCATTCATCAATGTTTTTGGCCTTGAAAGTCAAATTAATGACTTTTGTTTGAATTTGCTATAATTAGCTATAAGTTTGTTATTTGTTAATGGATTGTCTTCAAACTTGAAAACAACTACTGACGGACAATTCTGTAAAAGTCCACAAGCGCAGCAAGTTCAAACAGTGGAACAAGTCCAAAAGCACTGCAATTCCAAATAGTGCAGCAAGTCTAAGGGCGCAGCAAGTACCAAAATGCAACATATCGAGAGTCCAACGAAGAAAGGTTATAGTCCTTCTTTCAAAGCAAGTTCATTTTAAAGTTGATAAGACAAAGTCACCTTCGGTAGTGCACCAACACAGACTAACGTCTGACAATCGCGGCTTTACATTTATAAGTTTACATGAAAATTAGGCTACTTTACATTTTCGTAGTAAGAATAAAGACATAAACCGACCTAGTGTTTTGATGTGTTGTTTTCCCCTGTCAATCTTTTAATTTAGTTTTTACTTTATATTTGGTGGAAGAGACCTTAAATGTGTAGGTTTTCAAAAGCACACATGATGATGAATTCGATATATTTAACTCAATAATGTTACGAAGTTCATTTCGTCCAAACATCAAGGCACTTTTTATAACTTTGGAAACCACGTCAGTATTAGTTGACATTTATTATCTTTATTCTGATTTGTTAAAGTATGTATAATACTAGATGTTTACCCATTTGTAATTCCTTATTTATTACTACATAACTCATAAAACTTGTACCTTACCTTTTGTTTCAACCATTATTAGTTAGTACTGATTAGAATTCCAGATGGAGACCTAGAATAAGTTCTGAATTTAGTCGAGTTAAGATTGAGGCAATGCGACGTCATCAAATAGATCACATGATCTATCTGGGAACTCAGTGACATCATTATCTAAAGTTACGATATTGCTTCAAGGGTCGTGTTGCTATAAATACTCCAGATTTCCTTTAAACTTGGTCAATTGTATTGTTCGCTCTACAGACGCCAACTCTATGTAACATGTCATAAAGAAAATGTCCATTTGGATAGGTAGAACCAAGACTAATTAATAGATAAGGGGAGCAGTGGCCTAGCGGTTAAGGTGTCTGCCTCTCAACCAAAAGATCATGGTTTCAAGCCCTACTCTGGTCACGGCCATGTTTCTTCATATGATACCAGGACTGGCTGGTTCCCGGAAGCGGACTCGAATGTCATTAATATAAGTTGTTAGAACTTGTGTCGCAATCGAGCTTTTAAATACATATGTTTAAACCAATTAATAGATATAGTTACAATATATGAAACCATGCCGTCAGTGTATGAAACCAAGGTAGCTATATATAAGTTGATTTTATCAATATATGATAACAATTCTTCAATATATTGTACCAAAGTAGCCATGTATGGAACCAGATATCATTATCTGAAACCGAATTATAAATATATTAATTCATTTTTACAATTTATGATACCATTTTATGGAGCCGAAGTATCAATATAGAAGTTGATTATCACATTATATAATACCAGATCGTCAATATATGGTACCAAAGTAGCAATGTATGGAACTAGATGTCCTTATATGAAACCGAATTATCAATATATTGATTAATTTTTACAAAATAGATAAATACAGAATCCCTAAAGAAAGCCCAACACGGCAAAACTGAAAATGTTACAGGCTCGGTTTGATTGAGCCTGTTCATGGACGGTACTGGAAAGTGCAAGTTACCGTCCACGCCCCCTAGCACCGGCTTAAGCAGAATTCAACATTTACAACACATGAAATCATTTTATCAATGTATGGAACCAGGGTATCAATATATCAGTTGATTATCACATTATATGATAGCGATTTTTCACTATATGGAGTCAAAGTAGCCATGTATGGAACCAGGTGTCCTAATATGAAACCGAAATATCAATAAATTCATTTTTACAATATAAAAAACCATTTTATTAATGTATGGAACCAAAGTAGCAGTATATAAGTTGATGTTACATTCTATGATAGCAATTTTCATTATATGGAACCAAATTAGCCTAAAGTGATAAATATAAGTTGTTAGAACTTGTTTCGCAATCGAGCTTTTAAATAAATGTGTTTAAACCAATTAATAGATATGTTTTCCATATTAAATAAGTTAAGATAAATTAATAAACTCTAAATATTGATTAACTTGTAAAGAACTCTTATCTATGAAACTAACGTAAACAAAGCCAACTGAAGTGGTTTCCGGATATGTACTCATTTTGACTATATGTATTATTTATATTATTATTGACTGTTTGTACATGAATGAATGATGTTGATGATGGCATCCTCCTGATACAACACACCCTGACAATTGAATACCTATAGAAGTAAAACTATAGTGATATTCCCGTTATAAAGGCCTACTATTGCGATATACATCCTGACATGAGAGTAATTGTACCCGGGACCTAGCAGGCTCTCCCCGCTGGAGTAATTATATAATCATCTTGAATTTAAAGATACAGTGCAAATTATCGTTTGCTTCTATATAGTGTCACCCGACGTAAACCAAAATATTTGGCAACCATTGTCATTAAATCTAATTTTACAGCTCATTTTTTCATTTACAAATCTATAAAAAGCGAGGTTTTACGCGGATTCACTCATAAAATTGCTGGGCTGAATGCTACCATGTCTGTTTAAAAGATATTACAGGGAACCGATACGACACGAACATTCAATTAAGTCCGTTTTTATGGAAAGCAATGGCTGTCTGATATTGTTCTTTTTCAATTTATGAGTTCACTTTGACTATATATGATTTGAAAACACCTTCTTATTTAACCGGAATCCATTATATCAATCCACAGTTACAATATATGAAACCATGCCGTCAGTGTATGAAACCAAGATAGCTATATATGGAACCAGGTGTCCTTATATGAAACCGAAATATCAATATATTAATTAATTTTTACAATATATGATTCCATTTTTATCAATGTGTTGAACCAAAGTATCAATATATCAGTTGATTATTACATTATATGATACCAGACCTTCAATATACGGATCCAAGTAAGTCATGTATGGAACCAGATGCACTTATATGAAACCAAATTATCAATATATTTACTAAATTGTACAATATATGAAACCATTTCATCGATGTATTGATCCAAAATATCAATTTACAAGTTGATCCGGCCCTGATGTGGTACCAATTCTTCAATATATTGTACCAAAGTAGCCATGTATGGAACCAGATATCCTGATATGAAACCGATTTATCAATATATTAATTTATTTTTACAATAAAACCAGTTTATCAATGTATGTAACCGAAGTAGCAACATATAAGTTGATTATTACATTTTATGATAACAGTTCTTCAATATATGATACAAAAGTAGCAATATATGGAACCAGATGTCCTTATATAAAACCGAATTATCAATATATTTAATCGTTTTTACAATATATGAAACCATTTGATCAATGTATGGTTATTTTTACATTATATGACACAAATTCCTCAATATATTTACATAGGTTGCTAGTATATGAATCAAATTTTCCAATATATGGAACCAAATGAGCAATGCGTTTAACCAAAAAGTCATTATATTGACGGGACTTTTTTTATAAGGCTGTATTATATCCTTGCACCGATAGTACAGTGTCGCACCAATATTCCTTGTAGAACTGTGAAAAGACAAGCGTGCTTTACTGATGGCATACTACACATTTTCTAAATAAGGAAATATTTGAATTTAACGACACATTCACTGTGGCCTTAAAATGGGCTGCGCAAGCAAAACTTATCGTTATATATGTATGTAAAGTTCCAAAATCATAATTTAAGCTACTGAGTCTTACCGACCATTAACAAAAACATATTTAAACTCGACCTTTACCTTTGATAAAAAAATGAGCATGGCTAGTAGGACACATAAAGATTAATCTACTCACAAAAGTTAAATAATTATTGATTTCATAAAAAGTGGATGCATTGTAATAACAGAACCCAGTGACCTCGGTCTTTGACTTGTAGACTTGAAAATAGGCTAATTTGGTTCCATATCATGAAAATTGCTATCATCGAATGTTACATCAACTTATATACTGCTATTTGGTTCCATACATTTATAAAATGGTTTCATATATTGTAAAAGTGAAATAATATATTGATAATTCGGTGTCATATAAGGGCTTCTGGTTCCTAATATGGCTACTTTGGTACAATATATTGAAGAACTGGGGCCGTATTCATAAAGCTCCTAAGGGAAAAATTTCCCTTAGATTCTAAGATTTCCCTTAAAAAACGTAAGATTTCCCTTAATTTTTAAGAATTTCCTTAGTTGCTATTCATAAAACTCCTTAGGACAAAAATTCCT